GCCATACGTCCATGTACAGAAGGGCTGGAACCAGCCATATGTCCATGTACAGAAGGGCTAGTCAGCCATATGTCTATCAACAGAAGGGATGGACCCAGCCAACTGTCCATCAACCAAAGAATAAAAATGAGGTACAGACACACGACGGAGTTTTATGCAGTGGTGGATGCCATACAGAAGACCTTCAGTGGGCAAGTGAGCTCACTGGAGACAGCCTACCGTCCTGCTCAGCTCTGATGGGTGAGCTCTGGTGTAGCGCAGTCCCAGAGACGTCATCCTGGGATGGATTGCTGCTTGCTGCTGACGTGCTTTCTCCCACTTGTCACTGCTACACTCATTTATGTGGCTTAGTGTGAGGGGACACCGGGAGGACCCTCACTGCCTAGAGCCAGGTGTGATTACTACCTGGGTGATGGGCCACTCTGTTGGGTGAATTTCTTACAGATCAATATGAAGATGAAAATTATTGAGATAATGCTTTCTAAATGAACGAATAATTTTAGAGAATGTCTGACTTGATTTAAGTGATACTTGATTTAAGTGTTCTTTAAAAAAAAAGGTTAGTTTGATTTAAATAATTTTGGGAAGTTAGGGTAGTTAATAGAAAATGTAAAGTTAGGAAATAGGACAGTTGATAGAAAGTTTTGAGTTAGAATTAAGAATAAAGTGTGCCCTTTCAGAAGCTGCTTGAGTCAGAGGAAGGGGTGCAGTGAGTGCTCATGTGTTACAAGCATGTAATTGGCCGGGCAGGGTGGCTCACGCCTTTAAACCCAGCACTTGGGAGGCAGAGGCAGGCAGATTTCTGAGTTCGAGGCCAGCCTGGTCTACAGAATGAGTTCCAGAGCAGCCAGAGCTACACAGAGAAACCCTGTCTCGAAAAAAAAAAAAAACCCAACAACAAAACAAAACAAAACAAACAAACCCAAGCACGTAATTGTAGAAGCAAGAAGAATAGGCTAACGATCAAACTGAGCATAGACTCTAGGTTGGGCCTGAGTTCTTGGGTCTTGTGATCTAGGGCTGAGTTAAGAGGTTTTCAGTGTGCACCAGGAAATAATAAGGTTATAATAAAGTGCAAAGAATCCCATTATAAATATAAGAACAGAAAATAGATGATTAGCCAGCCTAGCCAATCGGAACTTCAAAAATAAGATGTAAGAAAAATGACTTGCTTCTTAGTAAGTATAGATTGCTATCAACCACGTATAGAGAAAAACTTGCAACTATAAACTTGCATTGTTTAAACTTTATCAATCAACGAACTAAAAATTGTAATTTTCTTTTGCATAATGATTTTGATTTGTTTTTGAAGAGTGTTTTTATGGTGATTATCTCTGGAAAATTTGTAACTGTAGCTAGGAAGTAATTTTCTTCCTAATAGAAAAAAATTTGTCTCTAGGGGCATAAAAAGGAGTTAAGAAAAAAATAATAACTCACTTGAGCTTGTCCTTGATCCAACCATACAGTGTGTGTGTGCGTGTGTGTGTATGTGTGTGTTTGTGTGTGTTTGTGTGTGGTGTGTGTATGTGTGAGTGTGTATGTGTGTGTATGTGTGTGGGTGTGTGTATGTGTGTGTGAGCATGTGTGTGTATGTGTGAGTGTGTATGTGTGTATGTGTGTGTGAGTGTGTATGTGTGTGTGTGAGTGTGTATGTGTGTGAGTGTGTGTGTATGTGTGTGTGTGTGTGTGTGTGAGTGTGTGCTTGATTTCTCTTATCCTTTATCTAACTGCTGCAGTCCCTGTAAGTATCTGGATCCACCTTTGCCAGCTGCTCTCAACACTGACCCCTCATAGGCTGCCTGCCTCAGTTTACCCTCTGATACCAAAGCTGGTCTTTGGCATTGCAGCTGCAAAGAAAAATAAAGTTTACAGGAAATGGATGGATCTGGAATATATTGTATTAACTAAGATAACCTACTTAGGGTTACTATCGCTGGGATAAAACACCATGACTAAAGCAACACAGTGGGGAAAGGGTTAATTTCAGGTTACAGTTCCAGGTAACAATCCTTGACTGAAGGAAATCAGGACAGGAATGAAAGCAGGGCAGGAATTTAGAGGCAGGAGCTGATGTAGAGGTCATGGAGGAGTGTTGCTTACTGGCTTGTTCCCCATGGCTTGCTCAGCCTGCTTTCTTATAGCGCCCAGAACCATCAGCCTAGGGATGGCCCCACCCACAATGGGCTGAACCCTCCCCCATCAATCACTAATTAAGAAAGTGTCCTACTGGCTTGCTTACAGCCTGATCTTATAGAGGCATTTCTTATTTGAGGTTCTCTCCTCTTTGATGATTTCAGCTATGTCAAGTTGACACAAAACTGGCCAGCACACACATTCTCTCAAATGTGGATCCTAGCTTGCAATGTGTGTGTGTGCGTGTGTATTTGCGCGCGCACATGCACATGTATGGGAGTGAGTGGGTATAGGCTATGAAATCTAAAAGGAGATGGGTCGGGAAACCATTTCTAACTCCAGTTCCAACATCCTTTTCTTCATGGTACACTAGTGTACATGCAGGCAAAATTCTCATATCCATAAAATTAAATTTAACTTAAAAATTTTAAGTTGAAACAAATTTTATTTGCAAATGCCATAATAAGACGTAATACTGTATACGTTGGTTAATTTTTTTTTAAGTCATCAAAGTCTTGATAAAAGAACTTGTGGGCGTGGACTTCCTGGGCACGTCTCTTGCAGGGTAACTGTTCTAAGGATGACAGGAGGGTAGGACAGAGGCCACCCCATAGGAGATGTGGGGATGTCACTGCTAAGCATGGCCATCCTGGGTGCCCACCACCCAACAGACAGTGACAACCTGTGACTGAGCCTGGGAAATCAAAGCTCCAGGGGGTCAGAAGAAAATGCCTCAGTTGGACCATGGTCACTTTCAGGACAAGCAGAATTTGTGAGGGAGGCACCAGATGAGAAACAAGAAGAGTCTGTGGCCTCAGTGACACTTCTTCTCATTGGGCCTCCCTGAAGGACAGCCACCAGTGGGGAGGTGGCTACATCTCCTTTGCAGACAAGAGCCTAGAGACTGCTATGGTTGACCTAGAGGGTCACCAGCTGGAAGCTTGGTCCCCTGGCAGCAGTGCTGACATGACACCAAGAGATCAGGTCATGGGGGCACTGTGATCATTAATGGGTCAAGAGGCTGGATTAGAGAGACACATCAGACACAGACACTCAGGGAAACAGGGACTGTGCGAGCCACTCCTTGCATCCCAGCCAGGAGATTCCAGCTGCTTGCCCGGCACTGCTTAGCTTTGCTAGCTCTCCCAGCCTCAGGCTACGAAACCAAACAAACAGAAGAAAGGAAACCATAGCCACATGGAACAATGGTTTAATACAGTAGTTCTCGACCTTCCTGATGCTGGGACCCTTTAATACAGTCCTTCGTGTTGTGGTGGCCCCCAATCATAAAATTGGTTCGTTGCTACTTCATAAGTGTAATTTTGCTAGTGTTGATATCTGATATACAGGACATCTGATATGTGACTCCTGTGGGGTCACTTTAATCGCCCCTTATATGCTGCTAGAGACACGATCTTTGGTTGCTTGAATTAAAAAAAAAAGAAAGAAAGAAAGAAAAGTAGATATATTCCTAATGTCACTTCTTTTATGCATGCACATTTGTGTGGTGGGGTTAGCTAGGTGTGTGTGCCTATGTGCGTGCATGTGTGAGCATGTGTGAGCATGTGTGTGTATGTGTGTTTGTGTGTGTGTTGTGTGAGTGTGTATGTGTGTGTATCGGCCAGAGAGAAATGTCAGGTGTCTTTTCTAGATTGTTCTCTGTAGCAGGCCACCTCTATGTAAACATCAGGGGCTGCACAGCTGCAAAAGCATCTCCGGCTAGAGGACCTAATTGAGGACTGCCTGAGAGACCAAGGATTGCTGGTGCAGACGATGCCAGCCAATCGGGAACTGCTGTTTAGTAGAGATGTTTTCTTGGGACCAATGGGGCGCAGGTGGAAGGTATTAAAGGAGCTTGCGGTGATGCTCAGATGAGCTTGCTGTGGCGTTTTTCACCTGCTCCCAGAGTCTGTGTCACTGACTCACCTCCACCCCCACCCCCAAGGGCAGGTAGGGTCAGGCTGAGTAGTCCAGGACACAGACAGCAATTCTTCACCATTTTTTTTCCTGAGACAGAATTTCTCACTAACTC